GCTCATGGGCAGGGGATTGTTATAATGCTGGGTTTGATTTGGGAATCTAGTGCTGAGGATACTGTCTGGCTCCCTTTGGAAAGCCTCTTTCTTTCTTTCTTTCTTTCTTTCTTTCTTTCTTTCTTTCTTTCTTTCTTTCTTTCTTTCTTTCTTTCTTTCTTTCTTTCTTTCTTTCAAAACGGGGACAAAGTTACTTAGGGAGTCTGTTATACAGCTGATGTTGACAAATAGGGAGGAACTGGTTGAGAAGTTGAAAGTGGATGGCAGCTTGGGTGAAAATGACCATGAAATGACACAGGATACGATTCTAAGAACTGGTGGGAGGCAGATCAGCAAAATAAGGACCATGGATTTCAAGAAGGTGGACTTTAGAAAACTCAGCGAATTGGTAGGTAAGAGTCATTTGGAAGCAATTCTCAGAGGGAAAAAAACTCAGCGAATTGGTAGGTAAGAGCCATTTGGAAGCAATTCTCAGAGGGAAAAAATGAAGGCGGCAGCAGCAGTTTTTCAAGGAGACATTACTAAGGGCACACGAGCAAACTATCACCCTGCGTAGGAAAGATAGGAAGTATTTTAGGAGACTACCCTGGCTTAATCAGGAGATACTGAATGATCTAAAAATAAAAAAGGAGTCCTACTAAAAGTGGAGCTAAGTAACATTACAAAGGATGCATATAAACAAATAGCACAAGTACACAGATGAAAAAGTAGAAAGGCTAAGGCACAAAACAAGATCAAACTAGCAAGATACATAAAGGATAACAAGGGGTACATGTACACTGCAAGGCTATTTCGGGATATCAGAGGTATCCCAAAATAGCTACCCCACTTTTTTCGGGCACATCCGCTATTGTGAAATATAGCAGACCTGCTATTCTGGTATCCCTGTAAACCTTGTTCCACGAGATATAAAGGATGTGCTGTAGATTGTTCTCCTTGGCCTCTGATGACAGGCCAAGAAGCAATGGGCTTAAACTGCAGCAAGGGAGGTTTCGTTGGACATTAGGAAAAAGTTCCTAACTGTCAGGGTGGCTAAGCATTGGAATACATTGGCTAAGGAGGTTGTAGAATCTCCATCACTGGAGATATTTAAGAGCAGGTTGGATGAACATCTATCTGGGATGATCTAGATGGTGGTTTGTCCTGCCAAGATGGCAGGGAACTGGACCTGGACCTCTCGAGGTCCTTTCCAATTTTAACATTGTATGATTCAATGAATGCTAGGAGAAGGATTTCCATAAGCAGCTGTCTTCTGCTATGATCATTTGAACAGTTTTTTGTCCTGGGTCTTATGGTACAATTCCAAAACATAGTGCAGATGAAAGGGGGAGTGGGGAAGCCGTCGTCACTTTCTAGACTGAATAGTCTGCAAGAATGATTTTCCTCTGACCATGTCAGCCCCTGGTATTGTTGAATCATGTTTTCACTCCTGGGGGAGGCTCAGCGACTGTTTTTCTCAGGGTTGATTTTCTGCTCTTCCCATTGCTCATGGAGCCGAGGGAATTGTCTGGGAACGCTGCCAAACACAGAGTGCACAGGGACTGCATGGAGGAAGTATAAAGGTCGTTGCCCAATGCAGTGTGTGTCAGACGTGTGATCATACACGGATCCTCAGGGCTCTGTCATAATAAAGCAATTCCTTTTCTCCGCTGGGCAGGATTTTGGTGAGTGCCTCTTTCTGCATTAGAGTTTAAGATGTCAGAGTGGGCTGAAGGATGCAAGCCAAGGGCTACCTTGGGCAGGAATTCACCACTAAGGGATTTGCTTTGTCAAATTAGAACTTTAAATGTACTGGAAAAAGCTTAGGGAAATTATCGTTTAAGATGTGATCCTTGTCTCTTACTGGGTGTATCTAGACTCCAGGGTTTTTTCGAAAGAAATAGTTGCAGTCTAGACGCTCTCTTTCGAAAGAGGCTTGTAGTCTTGACGTAGCTACTGTGTCCTTCTCCATGTCTATGTAGCTTCCTATTTTGGGGTGATGCCATTTTTCCTCTGTGACTCCCCAGCTTTCAAATCCATCAGCTTCACTTCATGGTTGGGAGAAACAGCCCAAACCGCTGCACTGGGTATCTACATTTGCAGTAGGCTCCCAACAGGAATGGGCCACCTAGTAGCCAGATTTTGCTCTCGTATTGGGCCTTCATGGGGTGACCTCCAGATTTACTCTGAAAATTCATTGGACCTGCTTTTCATCCAAGGGAGACCAAACCCCAATCCCCGAAATCTTTCATAACTCCCAACAGGGCCTTCAATATATGGCCTGATATATACTTGCCATGACACCCCAGTGACTTCTTCAGGAGCCCTCCTGTGGCCACGAGAGAGACGGAGCCCAGCCTAGAGAGTCTGAGGACTCATTGGAACCCCAGTTCCACGTGTTACTCTAGAGGGACCATCAAACTTTGGTCCTCAGCTGCTTCAATCTGCCACCATACTCTGTACCCTTCTTCCCCATCCCCAGCTCTCCTGACTCTAACACCGCACTGTCTGCTGGTCCCCTCTCTGTGGTCGTCCATCAATCTCCTGCCTCTCACAATCTCTAAACTTCCCCCCGGTGCTCCCTCCTCTTCTTCTGCAGGGGGCGGGGGCAAGGTGCCTCCTGTCCCGTGTGCTCCATTGGCAAGGAGAGCAGTGACTGTGTCTTTCCAGTAAGAAAGCTCTCACCCGAGTGACAAATGTAAAGGCTGGCACTCCCGTTGCACTGATACACACTGGCTGTGCCTACACTGGCAAGTTTTTCTGGAAAATCATCTGATTTTCTGGAAAAACTTGCCAGCTGTCTACACTGGCCACTTGAATTTCCCGAAAAGCACTGACGATCTCATGTAAAATCATCAGTGCTTTTCTGGAAAAACTATGCTGCTCCGGTTCGGGCAAAAGTCTTTTTCCGAAAGACTTTTGCCCAAAAGGGCCAGTGTAAAATGGCGATCGGGGCTTTTTTGCAGAAAAAAGCGTGTAGATTGGCCACGGACGCTTTTCCGCAAAAAGTGTTTTTGCGGAAAAGCGTCCTACCAATCTAGATGTGCTTTTCCGAAAATGCTTTTAACGGAAAACTTTTCCGTTAAAAGCATTTCCGGAAAATCATGCCAGTGTAGACGTAGCCACTGTGTTTTGTGCTTCAAGAACTGCCGTGAGAGGAATTACTTCCAGGCTGAGAGTTTTCAACATTACGTAGCAGGCTGATCTGAGTCCAGCTGCCACCTCTTGGAGCATCAGGCACTGCAACAATGGGGGATAGTGACACAGACGTTAAACCCAGGATGCTCTGGTACCATTTCCAAGCCAGATGTGATAGCCATGGAGCCAGTGCAGAGATTTAATGGGCTCGAAGAATGAATTAACTCTCCTAAAATGTTCGGCCATGCAAGATCCTTGCAATGTGTGAAATACACTTAGTTAACTTGGACCCTCTGGGAAGAAATTCTCATGCTACTCTGGTGTCTGGCCAATGTTATACTAAGTCATGAATTAAAAAAAAATATCTGAGACTGCAGGCAAAATGCCTCTAGCTGACTCCTCAGAACTCAGAGGTTGACTCTAAGGACAGAAGGGAGCACTGTGATTATCTAGTCTCTCTCACTAGATAGCTGCTGTCCTGTGCAATTTCTCAGCCTAAGAGTTATTATCCAGAGAGTTGATCTTTTATGTGACCATGGAACCTGGATTTGAAAATTCTCCGTGATGAAGAATCTGCAAAGATCCCTGGATAAATTGTCCCAATGATTAATTATTCTTGGTGGTATTTCCAGTCAGAATTTCTTTTATTTCATCTTCCATCCTTTGGGTCCCATTACACCTCTGTGAGGAAGTCCTAAAAGCCTACTGTTAAATAGTGTTTCACCTGTAGGTGCTTCCAAGGCATCAGTTTAAGGCAGGTTTTCTAATCTTTTAGTAACTCTTGTGACTCTCCTCTGAAGCATCTTCAATGTTTAAACATCCATCTTACCTTATGGACAGCAGAACTGCCCAAATGAAATTAATGGGGAGCAGCTTTAAAGCTAATAAAAGAAAGTTCTTCTTCACACAGTGTGTAATCAACCTGTGGAACAATTTGTTATAGTTCTAGCCTTCACAGCCTCCTCTGGCAGAGTTTAAAAAGAAGCTAGATAATTTCATGGAGGTTAGGTCCATAAAAGGCTATTAGCCAGGGGATAGAATTGATGTCTCTGGCCTCTGTTTGTCAGAGGCTGGAGAAGGATGGCAGGAGACAAATCGCTTGATCATTGTCTTCGGTCCACCCTCTCTGGGGCACCTGGTGCTGGCCACTGTCGGCAGACAGGATACTGGGCTAGATGGGCCTTTGGTCTGACCCAGTACGTCCGTTCTTATGTTCTTATGTTCTAGAACTAGGCAAATGATTCCAGGAGCAGCTGCACCAGTGCCAAATAAAAAGATAAAATAAGTTTTCTGCCTCTCCTTGAAATTCCCCTAATAATTTCCCCAGAGTCACATTAACTATTTTTGGCAGAGGGTGACTCTGGGACCCCACGGTTAGCTAATGATCTCTTCTTGGCCCAAAGTTGTTTACAGAAATATTATGCTTCCAATGAGTTTCCCCCAACGTTAAGCACAGCCTGAGTTCTTCATTCCTTGACACAGATACCTCTAGGGCTGTTCTAGAACACCTATTGTTGGCTTCAGATCACTTTATCAACAACCCTGATGGCTTTGAATCAGTCACCTGTCCTCTCCATTTTTTACTGTCCCCCGATATTGTGCTTTCTGCAAACTCGAGGCATGAGAAGGGTGAAGAGTTGACTCGGTGACATGCATCTCTGCTTAAGACCGTTAGGTAAGACCTGTGACTTACATCTCAGATAAATCTGGGTGACTGCAAGTCAGTGTCTCATTAAAAGAATGGAGCAAGCCTGTCCCCCAAAATACTGAGAGGCTTGTGTTCTTCATTCCCATTCTGTGGAGCCCCAAAGAATGGAGAATCCAGCCTGAGAATGTCTTTCCATGGAGGAAACTTGCCTTCTTGGCAATATAGTAATTGCAACATGGATCAGATGTATGAGCCATCTAATCCAGCATCCTCTCTTTGTGGTCAAAAGAAACTGAAAGAAACCCAATATTATGGGGATGGAGGTATAACTTCAGCTTCAGAAGGGTGTCTCCCTATTGCAAACAGATAGCGGTCATCTTGTGCTCTGAGACATGTGAGTACACAGGCTATCCAATATGTTTTTAGTCTCTCCACAGTATTTTTAGGCTCTCTATGGACCTGTCCAAACCCTTCTTGTGTCATGCTTAGCTCATGGCCTCAATTGCCTCTTTTATCAATGAGTTCTTCAGTCTCAGTGAGGCTCTGACGGTTTCAAACCCCACCCCCCTCCGTGCTATTGCTTGAAGAAATTGACTTATGGACTCCAATATGCATAACTCAAAGATGCTTAGGAGAAAATGCCTCATGTCACCTATCGATTGTAATGTCTCAGTCTGCTGGATCTGTAGATGTTGTCTTGGAGTGTGTATCGCTCTTGGGTGTAAAGTTAGAGAAATGGAGAATGGAATGGTTTATAGTTTTCCATGTTCACAGGAAAGCTATCCAGGGTGCTTCCCCCAATATCCGGGTGATAACCTGTGAAAGGCTCCTTTGGTCCTTTAAGTCTTAGTAGTGGTTGGACTTATGAAGTCATGTGGCTTCGACCTCCCTAACAGGGAGGAGCTGACCAGGTAATTTTCCAAGGAAGGGGAAAATGTAAAACAGAGAACCCCAGACTGAAAGGGAGGCAATTTAAAATGCAAAGTTTTTAGTCTCTTTGGCTATGTCTAGACTGCAGAGTTAAATTGGAAAATGATACGCAATTTGCGGTCCGTGAATAGCATACCTTTTTCCGCTTTACTGTTGAAAGAGACTTTTCCGAAATTTGGTGCCAAAAGGGAATCCAGGTAGAAAGATTTTCTCTTGTTTGCAGGCTTAGCTGGAATAAGAATAGTTTTAGGGTATGTTTGTAATAAGTGTTAGAATTAGCTATGTGATTTGTTATTTTAAATTTGTAATCTACTTTCTTCTGCTTATTTTCACTTGCAACCACTTAAATCTACCAAATCTACCAAGTGTACCTAAGCCTTTTCTAAAGCATTTGATACAGTCTTGTATGATCTTCTTATCAATAAACTAGGGAAACACAACCAAGATGGGGCTATTATAACGTGGGTGCATAACTGGCTGGATAATTGTTCTCAGAGAATAGTTATTAATGTCTCACAGTTATGCTGGAAGGGCATAACAAGCAGGGTTCCACAAGGGTCTGTTTTAGAACTGGTTCTCTTCAACATCTTCATCAACTATTTAGATGACGGCATAGTGAGTACGCATATTAAGTTTGTAGATGATACCAAGCTAGAAGGGGTTTCAAGTGCTTTGGAGGATAGGGACATAATTCAAAACGATCTGGAGAAATGGTCTGAAGTAAATAGGATGAAGTTTAATGAGGACAAATGCAAAGTACTCTGCTTAGGAAGGAACAATCAGTTTCACACATACAGGCTACGTCTACACTGGCATGATTTTCTGCAAATGCTTTTAACGGAAAAGTTTTCCGCTAAAAGCATTTTCAGAAAAGAGCATCTAGATTGGCAAGAGAGTAGTTATTAATGGTTCACAATAATGCTGGATGGGCATAACTTGTCAGATTCCGCAAAGGTCTGTTTTGAGACCGGCTCTGTTCAATATCTTCATCAATGATTAAGATGATGGCATAGAAAGTATAATTATTGAGTTTGCAGATGATACCAAGCTGAGAGAGTTTGCAAGTGCTTTAGAGGATAAGGTCAAAATTCAAAATGATCTAGACAAACTAGAGAAATGGTTGGAGGTAAACAGGATGAAGATTAATAAGGCCACTTGGAAAGTACTCCACTTAGGGAAGAACAATCAGTTTCACACATACAGAAGGGGAAGTGATTGTCTAGGAAGGAGTACTGATGACAGAGATTTAGGGGGCATAGTGGACCACAGGTTAAATATGAGTCAACAGCGTGACACTATTGCAAAAAAAGCAAACATGATTTTGCAATGCATTTATAGGAGTGTTGCGAGCAAAACATGAGAAGTCATTCTTCCACTCTAGTCTGAACTGATTGGGCCTCAGAGTATTGTGTCTAGTTCTAGCCATGACACATGAAGAAAGATGTGAAGAAAATGGAGAAGGTCCAGAGAAGATCAACAAAAACTATGAGAGAAGACTAAAATAATTGTGCTTGTTTAGTTTAGAAAAGAGAAAACTGAGAGGGGACACGATAGCAATTTTCAAGTACCTAAAGGGGTGCCACAAGGAGGAGGGAGAAAAATTGTTCTCCTTGGCATGTGATGAAAGACAAAAAGCAATGGACTTCAATTGCAGCAAGAGAGGTTTAGGTTGGACATTAGGAAAAACTTTCTAACTGTTGGGGTGGTTGAAGACTAGAATAAGTTGCCTATGGAGGTTGTGGAATCTCCATCACTGGAGATATTTAAGATCAGGTTGGATAGACATCTCTCATGGATGGTCTAGATGGTGCTTGGTCCTGATGTAAGGGCAGGGGACTGGATTCAATGATCTCTCGAGGTCATTCCCATTCTAGTCTTCTGAGATTCTATGAAATCCTGTTCCTTGTACTTAATAAAATCACTTTTATTTATTATCAATCCCAGTGTAAATAATTGTTACCCAAGGGGAGCAATCAGTGTGTACATCCTCCTTTCATTGCTCAAGGGACTTTGCCGGAATGATTTATTTGAGGCTATCAGGAATAATAGCTATTTCGAAATTAGGCATGTGGAGACACTCCACTGCTGCTATTTTGAAATAGCCCCTCACCAGGCTCTAAATCGAGATAGCATGTCTACATTAGGGAAGGCCGCCTCAGACTAATGTTGAGGCTTTCCTGCAGTGTAGACGTACTATTTCAAAATAAGCTATTTTGGAAGAACTATTTTGGAATATCTTCTTTTGAAATAGTCGTGCAGTGTAGAGACACAGTCTCACTGACTGGCCACATTACATTATATTTTCTGTCTGATTTCTCAACCCCGCTCTCCCTCCTGGATGGCACCATATTTCTGTAGCAGAGTTTCTGTGCACTTTGAGCATGGTTGCACAAAGCTGGTATCATAACGCCCAAGTCAGTGTCCTCAGTGTAGTTAAATGAGTTAGGTATTTGAAGAGTTCAAGATTTCTGCTCCAATGAGTATAATTTCCTGCAGTATCTGACTTTGAAGTTCATCTGCCATCCTTCTGACCATTCAGTTTCTCTAGCTCCCTCTGAGGTTTTCTCTGGAGTTGACTATAGTCTTCTTAATCAAGCATCACCTGTGAATGTTGCCACCTCACTGCTCAACCCCCGTTTTGTATTGTTCATAATTATACATTATTCACCATACAATGTGTTAGAAAGCATGTAATCCCCCCTTCTCCATTCCTCTCGTCCTTTGCAGGTACCTTGCACATTTCGAAGAGTGATTCATGCTATGACAACTTAATGGGGGATTTCAACCTCACCCCCTCTGATCCTTCGGTGTTCATTCTAATGGGCATTTATGGTCTGGAAGCGGCCCACCTCTGGATCTCCATCCCGTTCTCTATGTGTTACATTATCAGCCTGCTGGGAAATGTCATGATTCTGTTTCTTGTATGCAAAGAGCAGACTCTGCACAAGCCAATGTACCTGCTGCTCTGCATGTTGGGGCTCACGGACATCGCCACGTCTACTCTAGTGGTGCCGAAGGCTCTGTGCATATTTTGGTTCAATTTGAAAGACATTACTCTGAGTGGCTGCCTCACCCAGTCGTTTTTCCTGAACATGGTTTTGGTTACACAATCATCTGTCCTCGTGACAATGGCCTTCGATCGCTATGTTGCCATATGTAAGCCTCTGAGATACCCCACCATCCTCACTAATATACGAATAATGAAGCTAGGGCTAGTGGGTTTGGTTAGAGCTGCTCTTATCATTCTACCCCTACCCTTGCTCGTGAGCAGGCTGCCGTTCTGTACCAACCGCCTCATCCCCCAAATATACTATGAGAGCATTGCTGTTGCAAAGCTTTCTTGTGGGGACATCACAGTCATCAGGATGTACGGTTTGGTGATAATGATCATAAATATGGGATTGGACCAGAGTCTCATCGCCCTTTCCTATGGTCTGATCATCAGGGCCGTCCTCAGAATATCTTCCAAGAAAGCCCACGAGAAAGCCCTCAGCACCTGCACAGCCCATCTCTGTGTGATGCTGTTATATTGTATTCCCAGCCTCTTCTCTGTGATGACACAGCGGTTTGGTCAGGGCATTGCTCCTCATGTTCACATCATCCTGGCCAACATCTATCTCCTTGTTCCTCCCATGCTCAACCCCATCATTTATGGGGTCCTAACCAAAGAGCTTCGTGAGAAATTGGGCAGGTACATGTGCAGAGTGTGGTCTGTTAAAGCTTAACTGAGCTGTTCTTCGTGAAAGATCAGAGTCCCACAAATTCCTTGTGCCTAATATCTAAATACTTCATCACCAAAGACTGCTCTCTCTTTCTGTTTTTCACCTGACTGCTGTCATGTCATCTGTGAGCTGCCAGCCTACTACATGCTTCCGTTCATCCTCTCCGTAGCTCCTAAACAACTGAAGAAAGTACAAATTCCTGATGTAAGGGAGCTTTCCATTAATCTCTCTGGTATGGTCTACACTAAAGGAGAAAGACAACTTAGACATGCAATTCCAGCTATGTTAATCATGTAGTTGTAGTCAATGTATCTTAAATTGTGTTTTCAGGCTATCCATTCAGCGGGAGGTCAATGGGAGCAAATGCTCCTGTCAAATGCTTACTCCTCATGAAGAGCAGGACTAGTGATACTCATGGAGGTGCCTTCACTAGACCCGATCATTCGAATACCAGCTGATGGACTGCAGCAACATCAATTTTCCGTGTAGTTTATATGTGGCGTCTGTGAACAGGATTCTTGAGCAGTTTGTTGAATGAAATCTAAACCTTCAATAGCCAAAGAGTAGAAAAACAGCAATGATCAACATCATTATCATATGTACCGTTGTCCAGCAAGCAAAATTTGCCTGATTTTCTTATGTCCAATCATTCAGGAAGCTGGGGGAATAAGCCAATTAATGACAAATTACTTCAACACAAAATATGGACAGTGTCTTTTATCATGGAATGAAATCATAGAATCATAGCATCATAGAATCATAGAATAATAGGACTGGAAGGGACCTCAAGAGGTCATCGAGTCCAGCCCCCCGCCCTCAAAGCAGGAACAAGCTCCGTCTACACCATCCCTGACAGATGTCTATCCAACCTGTTCTTAAATATCTCCAGAGAGGGAGATTCCATCACCTCCCTTGGCAATTTATTCCAATATTTGACCACCCTGACAGTTAGGAATTTTTTCCTAATGTCCAATCTAAACCTCCCCTGCTGCACTTTAAGCACATTACTCCTTGTCCTGTCCTCAGAAACCAAGAGGAACAAATTTTCGCCTTCCTCCTTGTGATACCCTTTTAGATATTTGAAAACCGCTATCATGTCCCCCCTTAATCTTCTTTTTTCCAAACTAAACAAGCCCAGTTCATGAAGCCTGGCTTCATAGGTAATGTTCTCTAGACCTTTAATCATTCTTGTCACTCTTCTCTGTACCCTTTCCAATTTCTCCACATCTTTCTTAAAATGTGGCGCCCACAACTGGACACAGTACTCCAGCTGAGGCCTAACTAGCACAGAGTAGAGCGGCAGAATGACTTCACGAGTTTTGCTTACAAATATCAGAAATAATTTATTAGAAATGTCAGCGTCCTTTCATATGTTTTGGACAGTTTTTAGGCAATTTTTAAAGTACGCATTTGTGATTTTTGCTATCAACTATCTGCTAATTTTCAATCAGAATAATAGAACAAGAATGGGAGTTGTGGATTATGTCTACACTGAATGCTTATTTTGGAATAAGCTATTCCAGAAGATATATTCCAAAATGGCTTATTTCTAAATGAACAACAAGAAGTCCTGTGGCACTTTATAGTTGGACAGATTTATTACAGCATAAGCTTTCATCAGATACATGGTTCTTTGCCCATGAAAGTTTATGCTGCAATAAATCTGTTAGTCTACAAGGTGCCACAGGACTTCTCGTTGTTTATGCAGATTCAGACTAACTTGGCTACCCCTCCGATATATCGAAATACAGTATCCACACTACAGGGAAGCCTCAAAATTAGCCCGAGACAGGCTCCCCTAATGTGGATGCAATTTAAAGCCCCTGGAAGCACTGGGGAGAAATTATGTAAAATAGCCCTGGTGAGGAGCTATTTGGAAATAGTAGCAGTGGAGCATCCACAATACCGCTATTTTGAAGTAGCTGTTTTGGAAGAGGCATTATTCCTTGTGGAATGAGGTGTACAGAAGTCAGAATAAGCCTCCTGTGATTTCAATATTATTTCAAAATAACGGAATCGCTGTGTAGATGCTCCTATTGTTATTTCGGAATAACACTATTTATTCCAAAATAACAGTGCAGTGTAGATGCGCCCTTGGTTTTGAATATAGTTGTCATCTTAAAGCTTCATTGCTGAGGTCATCCAACTCATGCTAGGGCGTGTAGCTTTATACATTTTTAAGGAAATATGCATTAGCTATTGAAAGAACCCATTCATTTGCTACTGGATGTATAGATGAATGTGAATACAAATACTGTTTCTTGAGAAACAGACTGGACTATTTCAGGTGTTTTAAGTGACGCTGGCCTATAAGGGCATTAAAAATCTGGAAAACCTTACTCAGCACCTCAGTTTGAGCTGGAGGCAGAAACATTAAGAAGCTCAAGCTAAGACGGAAGCAGAGCAGCAGCAGACAGAACCACAAAGCCCAGAGAAGCAGCCCTCAAAGCCGAACTTGGCCAGAGGCAGAGCAGCAGCAATGAGACAAAAGAGGCATTCCCAGATCCTTGATCATTCTTGTTCCCCTTCCCTTAAGCCCACTAGTTCTGGAACACCTCTTGTGAGAGGAGTGCTTCATCAGACCAAGAAACTCCTTTCCAAAAGATGTAATGAAAGAGTCCTACGCCTTCTTGTGTAGCATCTGAGGCTGTCACTGTCAAAGAGAAGACTGTCAACAAGATGGATCATAGCAGTGAACCACAAAACAATTACGATATTACAAAGAGGGCAAGTTTTCACTATGGAAACAGACGTTATCATGTTGGGTTATCTATAACTTTATGAACCACAGGACAGACATGAAAGGTACTCAGCTCCTGATATTCAGGTCTACAGACCTGCACCGGTGTTAATTTCCTTGTTTCTTTTGGAAGTACACTCTCAGAGTATGTCTAGACTGCAGAGCTTTTCTGAGATACTAGAGGTCCAAGGAACGCGTCTACTCTTCTGAGATGTAGATTACTGGTGTTAACCAATACGTGTAAGCAGAGAGGTGTCACCAGTTCAGCTGCTAACCTTTGTCACTCCTGAAGTGTATAGAAGACACAATTGTGGGATTGTTAATAAACAGGACAGATCACTGAGTCGTCACAATCTATATTGGCTTACTCCAGGCAAACAATTTGCGCTCTAATATAGCCATTATGGGAAGCATAACTTTGAGCAGAATATGGGACATAAAAGGATAATTAGCTGAACATGGGCTCACAGTGTGGCCTGGTGGCCCAAAAGAGCCCATGTGATCCTGGGATGGCAACCGGGGGAATCTCAAGGAAAGGTAAAGAAGTTATTTTAACTCCGTGTTTGGCACTGGTGTGACTGCTCCTGAAATGCAGTTCAGCTGTCATGATCCATGATGGATGTGTATACATTGAAGAGGTCTCAGTGACAAGAATTAGTAAAAGAGTAGAAATCGGCCTTACACTAGTAGACACAAAGGGTACGTCTAGACTACAGGATTTTGTCGACAGAAGTTTTGTCGACAGATACCGTCGACAAAGCTTCTGTCAACAAAGAGCGTCTAGACTACATTCAGTTCTGTCGACAAAGCAAGCTGCTTTGTCGACAAAACCCTGTAGTCTAGACACAACCCTGCATGCAATAACACCTTCTGTCGACAGAACTCTGTCGACTGAAGGCGTTATGCCTCGTAAAATGAGGTTTACCAGCGTCGACAAAACTGCTGAGTTCTGTATAGAACGCGGCGGTAGTGTAGACGCAGGTGTAGTTTTGTCGACAAAAGTCCACTTTTGTCGACAAAACTCTGTAGTCTAGACACACCCAAAGAGCTCCATCAACTTATTTGAACAAAGATGGTTAAATAGTGACTTGATTACAGCCTATAAGAATCTACATGGGGAAGAACAATAGGGCTTCACAAGCAGGCCTGAATATCTGTATCCTAACTTTCCACCCATTTCTTTTTTTTTTGCGGGAGGGATTGTTCTTCTCAGGTAACCCATGCATCTGACGAAGTGGGTCTTTGCCCACAAAAGCTTATGCTCCTACACTTTAGTTAGTCTATAAGGTGCCACAGGACTCCTCGCTGCTCCTACAAAGCAGAGAACCTAAGGCACACATTCCCTGATAGGGCCAGGCCTGTAGGTGGAATGTATCAATCCTTCATCTGTCCCACTGTCCCTTGTGTTAGACAGGGCCCTACACAGCTATTCCAAGTAGTGTTCCATACTTTTCATTTGAGTGGGCCTGAGAAGGTTGTGTCTTGGTTGTCTAGTTCACTATGGGAAGACGTGTACTACTTTACTTTTGCCTTATAACGAGTGTCTCTTCTTTAGAGGATTGTGCCCCTCTCAATTGTTTCCATATGTGATGCAACACAAGTGTACTTAACAACACACCAGCCATTGTGGTAATCCAGATCTTATGCTTTCAGGTCTTGTTATTTCAAACTATTTTATCAGGCCCTAAGTTGGGATGCTATTGTGCTGTCCCGGTGGGATGTATTTCCATATTTCACGTGCTTTTAGCAGGGCTAGCGGTTGTAGTACTCAGAGACACTGATTGGCAGGCAAAGATCAGCTTTTTTCAAGGCCTGTCTGTTCCTCCTCGTATAACCCTTGCTAACTTTGGTTCAGGCACCAAAGACATTCAAGACTAGGTTCTTGCATATAAGACACGGCTCTGGCTTGGTTGTCTAGTACACTGTGGAGGAAGGCTTACTTTTACATTGTAATTAGTGGCTATTCGTTAAAGGGTTATGCCCCTCTCGATTGTTTCCATCTGCAACATAGCACAAGTTTATTTAACAATGCACCAATTGCTACAATATTCCAGAGCCCCACGTGTGTCCTCCCCACTGCAGCACAGTCTAACGTACTGGGCAGCACCAAAACCACTGCTTTGCCTCCCTCAGTTGGGTTAGAATTCGGTCAGCACCATCCTGAAGTGTGTATGATGTGCCCAAATACTGGCAATCTCGCTAAGTTGCTTCTGAATCATTGTGTGCTCTTGTCCATAGGATGTGTCCACTAACTATCCACTGT